GCTATTGCAAGAGGCCAGATCCACAGAAGGAAGTTAGCATTCATTTCGCTCAATGGGAAGGATGTGGTTGAATGAATAACGTGGGCAGCCTAATATTTTTAGGCTTGTAAGTTCCAGTTCTGTTGATGGTTCTGGTGCATGAACCAGCACATCAGGGCCATCTTACTTACCCAATATTTGAGGGAACTCGTAGGGAATGAGTCATAATCCCGAGACTATTTGCAAATGCTAAATGTCATTTTTAAATTAATAAACAAAAACTACAGCCCTTAAAGAGTGTTTTGTGTTTAAAAGCAAAGCCCATTCAGCATATTAAACCTGGAAAACAGAGACAAACCCGAAGAGAAAAATAAAATGTCCTCATTATCCCATGGCAGTTTTAAATTTTTAACTGTACAGCCTTTTGGTGCTTTTCTCCCCCTATGTATATATATTTTAGCAAAATGAGATCACGTTGTATAAATAGTATTGTAACTTGATTTGCATTTACCAAAAAACAGATGTGTAGCTTTCAGTGGTACTCCAGATATATTTTAGAAAGTGCTCTAAGCCACCAGTCTGCAGGATATAAACCAATGTCTCATGTCCATGTTGTACTTTGTTCCGTCCCAGGACCACTTGATATACTAAAATAAAAATATGCAAAGGTCAAAATGAATTTATATTTATTTAGAAAACTCAGTGAGACCAGGAATTTTCCTTTTTCCACTTGGTTATAGCCAGAGTTTAGAACAATGCTTCACACAATATGCATTCAATAAATATTTATTGGATAAATGCATGAAGCAACAAAGCAGCTAACACCATTTTACTGACTGGTTTATGTCCACTTGTCAACATGAAGCCAAAATCAGTGTCCAATAACAAGCACTGTTATGAGCATCGGTTTTCTGGGATGGTTGCTTATTGCATTTTCTCTACTTTATTCCCTTAGTCATGGGAATGTAGTAATGGGATTTTCCTGACATCAACAGCGATCAAACCTTGCCATTCCATAGCAACCTAATGCCCCAGAACCGAGGTGAGGTTTCCCAAGGGCGAGGCACAGCTCGTTCCTATTGCTGGAACTCTCCCTTCTCTACAATATCATGTTCTCGTAAATCATTCACACCAAGTTCCATTTGTCAAGATAATTGGGAGCAATTTATAATGCTGTAACCTAGATATTATCATGAAGACTCTCCCTATTTCCAATTTGCAGTGTTCAGGAATGTGACATGCGCCTGCCACTCAGCAGGACCATGGACCCTTCGTCAATGGACTCACAGTGTCACTGACCTTTATAATCTTGAGACCATCCAAGGCACTGGACACAGAGCCTCCAGCCACCTCTTGGTTCTCTCCTGCAAGTCCAGACAAGGTCTTTGTGGTTTATGTTGCATAGATTCCTACCTCTTGGAGGCTTTTAGAACTTGGCATGGTATTGAAATAACCTTAGGGATCTATCTCTGTGACCAACTAAATGCAATTGTCACCATTTTGGTTATTTGGTGACTTCGGATGTCACCTGGCTGAGCTGGCTCCCCACTGAAAACGGGACTCTGCCTTTGCAAGGGTATGGGTGAAGCTGGAAGGCATCGTTCTCGGCAAACTGACACAACAGAAAACCAAACACCACATGTTCTCACTCATAAGTAGGTGTTGGACAATGAGAACACATGGACACAGGGAGGGGAACATCACATACTGGGGCCTGGTGGGTGGGGAGCTAAGGGAGGGATAGTGGGGGAGAGGGGATAGAGGAGAGATAGCATTAGGAGAAATAGCTAATGTAGATGACGGGGCGATGGATGCAGCAAACCACCATGGCATGTGTATATGTATGTAACAATCCTGCAAGATCAGCAAATATACCCCAGAACTTAAAGTATAATTTTAAAAAAGAAAGAAAATGGGACTGATGTAATGAAAATGCTTTCGGTGGAATTTCAGCTTCAAGAACAAGTGGGAAAACTTAGCTTTGGTGAACGGGCAGCACAAGTGCAATATTCCATAGCAGTGGTGTGTTCTAGACCTTGAACACCCCTCCAGGCTGGGTGGGCAGACATGACGGCTGTGCCAGCCAGGCCTTCCTCCCACTTTTAGGTGATATCTTCCATTTCTTTTCAGAAAAACTCACTCCATGGCATGAACTCGATGATAGTACCATGGAGAAGGGCAAAGAGAGCCTATTAGCCACCTTGTTAACAATAAAATCCCTTTCCAGCCAGTTCTGTAGCTCCAAGGAGCCATCACAGGGCCTTGAATGTAGTGGACACTCATTCACAGCAAACGAAACTGAAGAGAATAAGCCATCAATTGCTGTATCATCATAGTTGCCTTTTTATTGTTTTGGAATAAAAGTAGCCCAGTACACCCCTGAAGAAACAAACAACAAAAAAAGTAATTACTCTCTTACCTAAGCCAGTCAGGAAAAAGGTATTCCGGCCAAGTGTGGCGCCTCATGCCTGTAAACCCAGCACTTTAGGAGGTGGAGACAAGGGGCTCACTTGAGCCTAGGAGTTCAAGAACAGGCTGGACAACATGACGAGACTCTGTCTCTATGACAAAGTAAAAAATATTGCCAGGTGTGGCAGCGCACACCTGTAGTCCCAGCTACTTAAGAGGCCAAGGTGAGAGGATCGCTTGAGCCCAGGAGCTTGAGGTTACAGTGAGTTATGATCATGCTATTGCACTCCAGCCTGGGTGACAGGGAGAGACCCAGTCTCAAAAAGGAAAGAAGGAATGGAAGGAGGGAGGGAGGGAGGGAGAAAGGGGAGGAAGGAAGGAAGGAAGGAAGGAAGGAAGGAAGGAAGGAAGGAAGGAAGGAAGGAAGGAAGGAAGGAAGGAAGGAAGGAAAAAATCAGATGTTCTTAGTAATTACACATAGAACACATTGATATAGTTAGGTATGGCATTCCATGTGGATGATTAATTTGTAATAATTAGAACTCGGAGCTCTGGGTTGAGTGACACACTGCCAGCAGTGTGGGTGCTGGGGAGAGCAGAGACAGGAGGTGGAACAGATAGCAGGGGAGCAAGGCCCGTGGGCAGAGACGCAGCAGACCCTGAAGTGTCCCGTGCCTCAGTTTCCTCCTGCATACAAGAAGCTTAGATAATTGCAGAGGCATTGTCAGGTTCTAAAATGTGTGGGGAACCTGAAGACAGTGAAATGTCACACAGAGACATTTAGAGACTAGGAAGGATAAGCAAGAAACCACTTTAATAAGACATTTCATCGACTGGGCATGGTGGCTCTCGCCTGTAATGCCAGCATTTTGGGAGGCTGAGGCAGGCGGATCACGAGGTCAAAATATTGAGATCATCCTGGCCAACATGGTAAAACCCCGTCTCTACTAAAAATACAAAAATTAGCTGGGTGTGGTGGAGCCTGCCTGTAGTCCCAGCTGTTCAGGAGACTGAGGCAGGAAAATTGCTTGAACCTGAGAGGCAGACATTGCAGTGAGCCGAAATCACACCACTGCACTCCTGCCTGGTTACAGGGCAAGACTCAGTCTCAAAAAATAAAAATAAAAAATACATTTCAGCAAAAAATCTTCCATTTGATATCACAATTTAGGATAAGTAGCCAACATAGATAAAATACCAGAAAATAGCACATGATTTCCATTGTCCTACCAAGCAGAATAGCATTTTTTTTTTTGAGATGGAGTTTTTCTCTTGTTGCTCAGGCAACCTTATATTTATAGTTGGGTAATGTTAGAAAAATGTGCTAAGACAATCCAATGGGGGAAAGAAGAGTTTTTTCAACAAATGATTCTGGGACAACCGGGTATCTTGACGCAAAAAAAAAAAAAAAAAAAAAAAGGTATTTGAACCCCTGCTTCTCACTATCCATAACAATTAACTCAAAAGGAATCAAAGACCTAAAGGTAGGAGCTAAAACTGTAAAACTGAGAAAGATACAACAGCATAAGTCTCCGTGACCTGAAGGGTTAGGCAGTAGTTTCGTTTTCACCAGAAATAGTCTGGTTGACCTTAAAAGAGCCTGCTTCACACAGCGTTAAAGATCTGTTTCACACTTCACACATCGCTCTTGCAATAGGTAGGGCTGCCTATGCCAGTCTTGTAACACAACTCATGCTGCAGCTGAAATGTGTGTACACCTGCTTAGACGGTGTGAACACACATGCACACATACAGCGTGGTTGCAGCCACTCACAAAGCCTGAATCAGTCTCTTCAAATCCTACATACGCTTCAGCTTAGAGAGTCACTGGGAACAGCAACCTCTCGGGGTAAGCCAGGACCAGTACAGTCATGCTGATCCTGAAACTGTTTCAAATATAGCCTGGAGTAACTTAATACCTTTATAAACAGAAATGAAACTGGGTTTAAATAACGACCCAAACCAGATGGCACCAATGTCGTGTTCTCTTCAGAAACGGAAAGAGGAACAAAAGAGAGACTCCTTCCCAAGGGAGCAGGTGCAGCAGCTGGGGGCCATGGGGGCTTTCCCTGAGTGCTGCAGGCACTCTGCAGCCTGGGAGCATGTGCTGGGTAGAGCTGCTCAGAATGCTCATTCTCCGATTTTAAGCAATTAGTATGGCTGTGACAGCAGCAATGCAGAATTCTCAACACAATTCTACTTCCTAACTGTAGTATTTGCTGAAATGTGCAACGTGTTATATAAATCAACTAAAATTTGTTGAGTGTTTACTGTGAGCCAGACACTATTGTAGCAGTATTACCTATATTAACTTATTTAATCCTTACAACAATCTTTTGAGATGGATTCATTTTTACCAAAAATGTACATTGAAATGCAAGCAGGTTAAGTAATATGCCCAATTCATAAAGCTTCTCATCAGAGTTTGGATTCAGGTCATCTGACTCCATAAGCCAGGTCTGTAGCCCTTACTCTCTTTTGCTAAACTGCCAAAATTTTAAAAAACTGCAAAATGAAATCATCCATTCCTGGGTATATTTGTTTCTATTGTCACTGTAGCAGATTGCCAAAAATGTAGTGGCTTTTAAAATAACACAAATTTATTTACTTACAGTTTTGAAGACCAGAGGTTGAGGCTAAAATCAAAGTATCAGCAGAGCTTCGTTCCTTCTTGAGGCTCTAGAGGAAAAGCTATTTCTTTCCCTTTTGCAGCTTCTAAAGGCCACCTGCCTTTGTTAGCTGGTGGCCCCCTCCTCCAACCTCAAAGCTCATCACTACACCCTCTGATTTTGCTGTCTCGTCTCCTTTCTCACCCCGACTCTCTCGCCATTCTCTTATTGGGACCCTTGTGATGACATGGCATTCCACTGAAAAAAATCTGCAATAATCTCCCCATATCAAGTTCCTTAACTCAATCACATGTGCAAAGTCCCTTTGCCACATAAGGTAACAGATTCACAGGTTCCAGGCCCTGAGATATGGACATCTCTTGGGGGACAGTCTTGATTCTAACACAAATGGGGAACTAATAAGTCCACACATGTGTCTGCATCATATGCCTCTTAAAAAAGTAAAAGGAAAGAAAGAAGAATAAAACACAAGTCTGCAAATTCATAAAGCACTTAGAATCTAGCAGTGATCAATATGGGGGTTACGTTGAATTGCCCACAATGTCAACTTCTGGTAGATTTATGCAAAATCAACAACTGTGAAAAGTTTCACATGAAACTCAAAATCAATAGCAGAGAGATTTGAGAAAATCACAAATATGTGGAATTAAATAATACATTCCTGATAACCAATGAATCAAAGAAAAAAACCACAAGGGAAATTTGAAAATACTTAAAGATGAATGAAAATGAAAATACAACATGCATAAACTTATGGAATACCAAAAAAGCAGTTCTCTGAGGGAAATTTATATCTGTAAATGCCTATATTTATAAAGAATAAAAGTTTCAAGTCAATAAACCAATATTCTACCTTAAAAAAACTGGAAAAAGAAGAGCAAACTGAAGCCACAGCAGGCAGAGGAAAGGAAATACTAAAGATTAGAGTGGAGATAAATGAAATAAAGAATAGAAAGACAAGGGAAAGAATCAATAAAGCCCCAAGTTGTTTTTTGAGAGCATTAAAAAAAAATAGATAAATTTTGGATAAACTGACCAAGGAAAAAGCAGAGATAGCTCAAGTTAATAAAATCAGAAAGGAAAGTGAGGCGATTACTACTGACCTTACAGAAATAAAAAGGGTTATAAGAGTGTACTATGAAGAGTTGTATGCCAACAAATTACATAACTTAGATGAAATGGGCAAATTCCTGAAAACATACAAACTGTTAAAACTGGTTCAAGAAGAAGAAGAAAACCTGAATAGCCTATACCAAGTTTGGAGACTGAGTTACCTAAAAAAAAAAAAAAAAAAAAACAACTTCCAACAATGGATTTTATGGATTCGATGCAAGTGCTAGCACAGTTCTAATCTTCCTTTTTTGTAGAAATGGATAAGCTAGTCCTAAAAATTATATGGAATTATAAGGGACCATGAATAACCAGATAATCTTGAAAAAAGAAGAACCAGGTAGGAGGACTCAGACTTCCTGACTTCAAAGGTTACTATAAAACAACAGTAACAAAAACAGCATAGCATTGGTGTTAGGATAGGTATAAAAATAAATAGAATAAATTTGAAAATAGAGAATTAAACACATACATCTATGGTCAATTGATTTTTGACAAATGTACCAATGGGAAAAGAACAGTTCTTTCAGCAGATGGTACTGTGACAACTGGATTTCCACATCAAAAGTATGAGTTTGGGTCTCTACTTTATGCTATATACAAAAGTTAACTCACATTGGAGCAAAGACGTAAATGCAAGGCCTAAAACTATACGACACAGAAGGAAACATAGGTATAAATCTTCATGACCTTAGATTGGGTAACGGTTTCAAATATGACACCAAAATCATAAGCAACATGATATAAAATTGATAAATCGAACTTCATGAAAAATTTCAAATTTTCCACATGAAAGAACACTATCAAGATGGTGCAAAGACTATTCTCAGAATGAGAGAAAACATTTGCAAATTATGTGTTTGATGAGGGTCCAGTACCCAGAATATATTGAGAACTTTTACAACTCAATTTAAAGAAGGAAATAACCAATTTTTATTTTTTTAAATTGTGGTAAAATATAAATAACATATATATAATTAAGCATCCTAACCTTTTTAAAGTGTGTAGTTCAGTGGCATTAAGTACATTTGCATTGGAAAAAAAACCTGATTTTTTAAATAAGCAAAGGACATCATAGACATTTCTCGAAAAATGGTTTATAAATGGCCAATAGGCAGATAAAAAGATGCTCAGCATCATTAGTATTAGGGAAATGCAAATAGAAACCGCCATGAAATATAATTCACATTCATAGGAGCAGAAAATAACAAATGCTGGTGAGCTCGTAGAGAAATTGGACCTCATACATTGCTGGTGGGAGCAATGGTGGGCCCCAAATCATACCGGTAAAATGCAAATGATACAGCCACTGTTGAAAAGAGTTAAACATAGCGTTATCATATGACCCAACAATTTCACTCCTAAGTGTATCTCAAGAGAACTGAAAATGTATGTTCACACAAAAACTTGCTCATGAATGCTCATAGCAGCGTTTTTCATAATAGGCAAAAAAATGGAAACAATTCAAAGACCATTAAATGATGAATGGATAAACAAAATGTGGTATATTCAAACAATGGAATATTATCCAGCCCTCGAAAGGAATGAAGAATTAAGACATGTTATGACATGAATGAACCTTGGAAACGCCAAGCTCAGGGAAAGAAGTCAGGCACAGAAAGCCACTTACTGTATGATTTCATTTATATGCAATGTCCAGAATAGGCAAATCCATAGAGATGGAAGGTAGATTAGCAGTTGCCAGGGGCTGGGGGGAGGGAGGAATGGGGAGGACCTTGGTCCCCACCAGAGCACACACCAGCTAACCTGTGATGGCCATGTGGCATGAATGAGAAATGGACATTTACTGTTGTATTTTATTTTTTAATTTTTTATGTTTTTTTGAGATGGAGTTTCGCTCTTGTCACCCAGGCTGGAGTGCAATGGCACGATACTGGCTCACTGCAACCTCCGCCTCCCTGGTTCAAGTAAATCTCCTGCCTCAGCCTCCAGAGTAGCTGGGAGTAGTGTTGCCACCACACCCAGCTAATTTATTTATTTATTTGTTTGTTTTTATTTTTAGTAGAGATGGGGTTTTGCCATGTTGGCCAGGCTGGTCTTGAACTCCTGACCTCAGGCAGTCACCTCCTTTAGATGATGGCCTTTTTTCTGTGGTTTCCCTGTTTTCTCCATCTCTGCCACTGTCCCTGTATTCTACTCTACCTCCCTAATCTACCCTCCCTGGACTTGCCTGAAAGACCTGGACCTGGATTGAACATGGAACATTTCTTACTAGACTTGGTTGTAGGAATATTACCAAGCATTCACTGCAGATGCAAGTTAAAGAACAATATTTTAAATATTGTCGGCTTAAACTAGGCGGCAAAATATTCAAACACAAAATCTCAGATGCAGCAAATCACAACAGTGTGTTCTGGTGACGCATTGGGGTAAATGCAATCATTCACAGGCTCCTTGGAGCCTAATTAACCAGGATCCCAGCTGGGGGCTACAGGAAGAATAACTGTGGATTCTACCTTCACTGCAACAGGTTACAACTGCTGATATATGACTCTTGGCAGGAACAGCTGGCCCTGGGCCAGGGAGATCACACAGGCAGCCAAGGAACCCAAGGGTTGCACCCCATCCTGGTCCACCCCAGGGTGAGGACAATGCTCTTGGTCACCAACTGCTCAGGATTTACCTGAAGTGGAGTAGTCAGAAGCTGCAGAGAGTCAATGGAAAGATAGGGGCCACCTCTTGGGAACAGCCAGGACCAGCCCTGCACCGTATCAACACTTCCGCTGAGCCTTTGCTCCTGGGTCCCTCGCCAGAGCAGAGCCATTTCCTGCCAAGAGCCTGGTACCTTCCTGATGATCCAAGCTGTTTCTTCCCAGGGGTGACCTAGCAACCATTGAGCCCTTGCATTCTTTTCTTTTAAAGGCCACCGTCTCCCTCCTTCCCCCAAACAAGGGGACTGCAGAGCGCACCCTGACCAAAGCATTCATGCTCAAGTGTTTATGGTTGCATGTATTCTTGTACAGGGATGTCTGCGTTTTAAATGCCAGCTTCTAGACGTGGCTGTCACTCCGAGAAATAAATCTGTAAGGGATATTTCTTTTCTAGAACGGATGGAGTGGAGGTGGAAGCTTTCAGCATCTTTTGAAATTTCATTTTGAGATAAAATGACAAGAATTTCATTTCTCCTCATGCAAGGCCATTCTCATTCTCGCTGGCCAACTGAAATGGTGTTGGAAGAATGCAACGGGCTCTTAGGAAGCAGATGTTCGGGGCAGCACAGACACGCATTGGCTCAAGAGTAAACACTCAGGGAAGGAGCTGAAAGGAGTTTTTTTCAGAGAGCACAGCTAGTTCCTGAGACTGAAGGTCATGTCCCAACTGCTGCTGCATTTTTCCAAGTTCTCCATTTCTTCCAAAATCATACATTTTCTCAGTATTTTTTGGTGTACTACCTTTAATAGGCATATAAATGTTTTAAAAACTCATATCAGTATTGATAGCTTTCCTATAGATTAAATGTATTCTTAAACTCTCACTGCCCACATCCACCAAATAGAAACACAATTAATTTTTTTCTTTTTTTAGACAGAGTCTTGCTGTGGCACCAGGCTGGAGTGCAGTGGCAGGATCTTGGCTCACTGCAACCTCCGCCTCCCGGGTTCAAGCAATTGTCCTGCCTCAGCCTCCTGAGTAGCTGGGACTACAGACGTGTGCCAACACACCCAGCTAATTTTTGCATTTTTAGTAGAGATGGGGTTTCACCATGTTGGCCAGGATAGTCTCGATCTCTTGACCTCATGATCCACCCGCCTCGGCCTCCCATAGTGCTGGGATTACAGGCATGTGCCACTGCGCCCAACCAACACAATGAATTTTAAGGCAAAGGGGCTCCTTGCCTCAAGGTACCCCCAATATTACCCACTGTGATATTGTTGTCTGCCCCGCTATAAATCACATCCCATTATTATGAATAATTATCTTTCAATAAGGGTTAATTTAGAATTCTATGCTCTTTTTTTAAAAATTTAAAATGTGTGGTGGCTCACATCTGTAATCCTAGCACTTTGAGAGACTGAGGCCAGGAATTCCAGACCAGTCTGTCTCTACAAAATAATAATAAAATTTAAATATTAAAAAAAACAAAATTGAACAATAAAATGTGTGTGCCCTTACTGTATTTGCTTTCTCCTTATGAAAATATACATTTTTCCTTATGACTTAAACAACATGCTAGTTTATTAA